CGTTCAGTTTCGTTTCATTTATGGAAACAATATCGATATCATTGTTTGCTAATATGATTCTTAATTCGTCTATATGAGTAATTAATTGATTAATATTGAGTGATGCCATTCTAAAACCGCGCAAAGGAGGCAATATTGAGACAGATTTTTCGGCCTTTTGGTTGTTTAATTGATCCCGCACGGCATTGACGGACAGCACATTATCTCATTCTAGGTGCGATTTAAAATTATTATAAAACTGCTCATTACCTTTAAAATTTAAGTGCAGTCCACCTTTGTTGAGTCCACTATGAGATATGTTCTCATGATGGATTAATTTCCATCCATTTTGATGGCAGAACTTCTTTAGATGCTTGTTGGCTGTTTTCACTGCCTGGTCCAGCTTATCTTTTCTGCATACAAGCTCCGACAGCGTAACTGTAGTATCGCAGGTGCTCTCGATCTGTCTCGCGAGATCCACAATCGATTCCGCAACAGCCTTTGGTTCCCTGGTTTTAAGATCATTAGTCCCAATGTGTAAAATCACTTCATTGGGCGAAGATTCCAGATTTGGCTTGAGATAGTGATTCATGGCCATTGTCGTAGCGCCCGAGAAAGGCTTGACTATAACCCTGTGGCCAACTGCTTTTCCCAGATCTTTTCCAGGTATTCTTGAGATTATTCAGTTATAAAGCCAATAGCGTTCTGTCCGGGCTTAGTTTTGGGCCTAGACTTCGCCTAGCCTTGTATTGTCAGGGCTAAGTACCAGGCAGGATTCAACGTGGAATTGCTAAGCATTGTACTTGGCCTAAAAAATCTCTTTGAAGACGCATTCCGGGTTGGTTGGATTATTCTGTTGAAAATAAAGATGAAGTCACTGACGATAAGACAGGACCGAATACAAATACAAAATGATGTCCAGCGATTGAGAGCTGTCGCTGATTCTATAACTGAAGTAAGATTTACATATATACAGTCTTATCTCTTTAACGTCTGTATATGGCGTGGTCCCTTTAGACGGCGGGAGATCGCGCCCTTTAGACTATATAATTTTAACTGTATTTGAGGGGTCTCACTTCTGCCTCATGGTTTCTTCCTTTTTTGAGATCGAAGACTCTGTTGTCTTTTTCGCAAAAAAAGGTGGATCATTTTTGAGATATTAAAGTACAAATTAACCGACCCGTCGCGTCGCATTGGCTTGATTGTTTAGAAGAGGGAGACAGTAGTATAGTAAATGGCTGTTCTAACCTGGTGCAAAAAGTGGGCCACACTTTTTCACCATATTTTTGTGCTATACTTTTTTACCATACTTTTGTGTCTCACTTTAGTTTAAATTTTTTGTTGTTTTTCTTGGAATTTTCCTATTATATTATTTCTTGTTTTTGATTTTCTTTAAGTACCACAATTTTATATGAAATAAAGATTTATGATGTTAGTATATCAATGTATATTTTTGATGAAAAAAATTATCTAATGGTATAGTAAGTATGAATAATTTATTGATTGATACGTTAAAGACTATTTTAATTGATTTGGATTCTAGTTATAAGAATATAAGAATAACCCACTGCTGAAATATACAAATAACAGATACTCTCATTCAAATTATAAATGATATTGGAAAACGAAGCAAAAATCTAATAATCACTCTGTTATCACTGTTACAAAAAAAACAAAAAACTAAATCACGTATTCCAGTACCAATCAAAAGGGAGATTATTAATGAAAAACCAATAATTATAAATAAAGAAGAAACAAAAAATTTAAATATTAAAATGAGAGAAACAGCTTTGAATAACACCCTTAAATCATATGAAATAGATATAATTGGACAACCAGGTATGTTTGGCCGAAATAGAGATAATGTTTCGAATCAATTAATGTTAACACGCGAAAAAATTTTATGAACTGTTAAAAAATGATTTGATTAAAATGAAAGGTTTTAAATTACAAAAATTCAAATTATTTGATAAAATATAATATGACCCAAAAACTAAAGATTTCGGTATTGAAACCGCCCATTTATATTTCAATAGTAAAACAACAATTAATATTAAGACGGTTAAGACGTTCGAGTGGTTGGAGAATTAGATATATCTATGTGCACTATATTGATTTATTTGATTATAAACCATTGAAGGATGAATCATTCATTGAAATTTAAATTGAATTGAAAAATACGACATCACTGATCAATCTTAAAAATAAAGACAATGAATGTTCTAGAGGGTGTCATGTAATGTTTCTCAATCCAATTGAAAAAAAAACCTCAAAGAATCAAAAAGGAAGACTGACAGTTTGTTTCTCAATTAAATTATAATGATGTTCAATTTCCTATTAGTACAAAAGATTATAATAAAATTGAGAAATAAAATGACATCAGAATAAATGTATTTGGTTATGAACATAAAGATTTCGATCCAATTTACGTTTCAAAGAAACATTTGAGAGAGAAATGAATTCATTAGATATATGATCTAATGCGCTATACCTAAGATCGTTACAAATCAAATGGAAGAACGGGAGGAACTAGAAGTTGTTGTATGGTTCAAGGCTTGCGGCTGTTGTAGTTCCTCGATTTTTTGGTCGAGCTTTTCTTTGAGCTTCTTAGCCGATGAGAAATCAATGTCTTTAGCCCTCGCATACGGCACTTCATTGACATAAGTCGGCAAAATCCATCAGCATTTTACCTGAGTGCAAGCGAGCTTGGGGTGTCACGAAAACTCAGACCTCAGAC